GGTATGTTTCTTCCTCTTATGACCGGAAATGCTGAATAAAAAAAAAATTGGTGTTCATTTATAAAAAGTATTATGCATGTACAGTCCTAAATTCATGTGGAGCAGTGTTTGTTGAGAGACATTGAGAACGACATACCGTTAGCTGCATGTGTATAAAATATCACGGCACCACACATCAGATTGTGTATTTGGGCCAGTGTGTGTTGGGATCGGTCAGCTGGGCCAGTGTGTGCTGGGATCGGTCAGCTGGGCCCGTGTGTGTTGTGATTTGGTTAGCTGATTTGATTGGTCAGCTGGGCCAGTGTGTGCTGTGATTGGTCAGCTGGGCCAGTGTGTGCTGTGATCGGTCAGCTGGGCCAGTGTGTGTTGTGATCGGTCTGCTGGGCCAGTGTGTGTTGTGATCGGTCTGCTGGGCCAGTGTGTGCTGTGATCGGTCTGCTGGGCCAGTGTGTCTTGTGATCGCTCAGCTGTGTGTTGTGATTGGTTTGGTGGGACAGTGTGTGTTGTGATTGGTTAGCTGGGCCAGTGTGTGCTGTGATTTGGTTAGCTGGGCCAGTGTGTGTTGTGATTGGTTTGGTGGGACAGTGTGTGTTGTGATTGGTTAGCTGAGCCAGTGTGTGTTGCGATTTGGTTAGCTGGGCCAGTGTGTGTTGCGATTTGGTTAGCTGGGCCAGTGTGTGCTGTGATCAGCAGCACTCGGTGCGTCTGGTCGGGAAATGTCACGCCCCTTACCATAGCCACCTGCGAGCTTCAGTGTAAATATTGCGTCAAAATCAAATCAATTTGAGCGTGATTTAAACCCGGATGATTGTACCCACTTTAGGGTTGTCTGCCTTGGGAAAGATAGCGTGTCTCTGACATAAGTGATAACACTCTTTGCCTTCTCTAGTGCAGCTCAACCAGGTCTCGTCCCATTCGTTGATATTTGTGATATCACAAATCCCGGAAAGAATCTGTTGTCATCCAAACGAGTCATTCGTTGTAGTTTTTGAAAAGTGATTTCTGTTAAATAAAACATCTCCTTTTGAAGTGGACTTTGAGCTTTGTAACTGCAGATCTTTTTTATGCTCAAACATTACAGACTAACTAAATTTGAAAAAGTGAAAAAGCATAATGGGACCCCTTTAAATCACAGCCTTTGCAGTTTGACAACCGTAATAAGACATATCTCAATTTATTTTGGATGATTGTTCCACTCAAATTTATAGAAAAAATTATATTGTGTAAATATGCCAATTTTGTTTCTTTCAGATAACAATGCTGGTTCATCTTCTGATGGAGAAACAGCCTCTACATCCAAAGAGCAAAGAACAAAGAAGAGTTTCTCCTGTGCCACCTGTGGAAAAACATTCAGCAAACAGTGTAATTTAAAAAGACATGCCAGAAAGAAAAAACACACAGAACAGAATAACTTCACCTGCAAGATATGCAACATCAGCTTTCCGACCTTCAAAGAGAGAACACTTCATTCAAAAGAGCACAGCGTGAAGAAGGAGTTTCGCTGCGAACAGTGCGGGAAGGATTTCTTCAACACTCTTTATAGTATGAGAGCTCATATAAAGACACACGAAGAAAAGTCTCTCCAGTGCAACGAATGTAGCAAGTTTTTCCGCAACAAACGAGATCTTTCAAGTCATATGAGAATCCACACGGGTGAAAAACCATATCAGTGCCCTCAATGCGAGAAGAGCTTCAGCCAGGGATCTAATCTGAAGACACATCTACTCACGCACAGCAATGAGAATTCGTATCAGTGCAGTGAATGTGGAAAACCTTTTATAAGCTCAGCTTCTCTAAAGTTACACCAAAAAAAACACTTTGATAAACTGTATCAGTGCCCTCACTGCGAGATGAGCTTCAGTCTCAGATCAGATCTGATGAACCATCTACTCACACACAGCAATGAAAATCCCTATCAGTGCAGTGAATGTGGAAAACATTTTATAAGCTCAGCTTCTCTAAAGTTACACCAAAAAATGCACTCTGATGACAAACCATATCAGTGTTCACACTGTGAGAAACGTTTCCGTAATTCGGCTCACTGTAAAACCCATGAGAGGATTCACACCGGAGAGAAACCGTACCTGTGCTCCGACTGCGGGAAGAGCTTTGCTAGTTCATTTGCTTTCAAAGTTCATCAGAGAATTCACACAGGAGAAAGACCGTATCCCTGTAGTGATTGTGGGAAGAGTTTTTATAAGCTAAGTGACTTAAAAGTGCACCGGAGGACTCATACAAGAGAAAAACCTTTTAAATGCTCACTTTGTGACAAGACTTTCGCTATATCGACTTCCCTAAGGATCCATACACGAATGCATACAGGAGAGAAACCTTATCGCTGCTCCATCTGCGGCGAGAGATTCGCTTTTAAATGGGGTTTTCAGACACACAAGAAGAAACACGCTGCTCCAGAATCATCATAGCTTCATCATGTAATTATTTCTAGGTTGTCAAAAACACAGCGTTACAGGAATGTTGTTTTATTGTTGTAAAAAAGTAAAACCTATAACAAGAATGTCTCTAGGACAAGGGTGTTCAAACCTGCTCCTGGAGGGCCGCTGTCCTGCAGAGTTTAGCTCCAACTATAATTAAACACACCTGAAGCAGCTCATCAAGAGCTGTGTCTGGAATCACCACTGTACTGAATAGGGCACTATTTGAGAAGACAGCCATTTGTAATGGCATCCAAAACCAAACAGATGATTTGGGGTGCAATGTCATCTGCTGGTGTTGGTCCATTGTGTTTTTTGAAAACCAACGTCACTGCACCCGTTTACCAAGAAATCTTGGAGCACTTCATGCTTCCTTCTGCTGACCAGCTTTTTGAAGATGCTGATTTCATTTTCCAGCAGGATTTGGCACCTGCCCACACTGCCAAAAGCAGCAAAAGTTGGTTAAATGACCATGGACTGGCCAGCAAACTCACCGACACCTGAACCCCATCGAGAATCTATGGGGTATTGTCAAGAGGAAAATGAGAAACAAGAGACCAAAAAATGCAGATGAGCTGAAGGCCACTGTCAAAGAAACCTGGGCTTCCATACCACCTCAGCAGTGCCACAAACTGATCACCTCCATGCCACGCCGAATTGAGGCAGTAATTAAAGCAAAAGGAGCCCCTACCAAGTATTGAGTACATGTACAGTAAATGAATATACTTTCCAGAAGGCCAACAATTCACTAAAAATGTTTTTTCATTGGTCTTATGAAGTATTCTAATTTGTTGAGATAGTGAATTGGTGGGTTTTTGTTAAATGTGAGCCAAAATCATCACAATTAAAAGAACCAAAGACTTAAACTACTTCAGTCTGTGTGCATCGGATTTATTTAATACACGAGTTTCACAATTTGAGTTGAATTACTGAAATAAATTAACTTTTCCGTGACATTCTAATTTATTGAGATGCACCTGTATGTCTATACCAAGTGTGCTGCACAAGTATTGCAAAGTGAAGCCTGGGCATTTCAATCGCCCCCAGGTGGCTGCTCCAAGTATTGGTCAAACCCCGCCCTCTCCATGTAATCTAATGGGACGTGAGACAAACTAAATAAAATTTCACTTCAAATAATATTTTTCCAAAGATGGGTTTTGACATTTTATGTCGTTTTTATCACGCTGATGTAAGTTCATATGTTTGTTTTTAAAATAAGTTTTAGTTGGTTATGTGATTCTATAATAACGGGAGTGTGACATCATGATTGACAGCTGAGATTGACAGCTTCTCTGAGCGTACTGAGGCACAAACAGACTTTTTCGGGATCTTCAGGAGGAGATTGGAGTTGTATTTACCATATTTCAACGCAAACCTTTTATACGGCAATCACTAGACAAAAATGGGAGCTGTCAGGCTAATTAAAAAAGCGTGCTTGCGATCAACTCTGCGGGAGTGTGGGCAGGACGCAGTTCCACTTCGCTCACCACTGCGCAGACTCTAGTCCCAAATCAGCGCAATGTGGCTGTGCCCTATTGGGACATTGGCGGCTTCACTTTTATTCAACGGAAGAAGTGTAGGTGCATCGTCCATGTTTTTTTTACAGTCTATTACTGTAATAGTCTATTACTCTATGTTCTATACCAGGGGCAGGCAAGTTCGGTCCTAGAGAGCCGCAGTCCTGCAGAGTTCAGCTCTAACTCTGAAAAAGAAACCTCGCCTGCCTATAGCCTTAGTAATCCTGAAGACATTGATTAGCTTGTTCAGGTGTGTTTGATTAGGGTTGGAGCTGAACTCTGCAGGACTGCGGCTATCTAGGACCGAACTTGCCTACCCCTGTTCTATACAGACTCGGTATGAGAAACAGCACTGATGAGTTAAAGAGATACCACCAATGATCTATAATATATAGATCATCCATCTCATCCATATCGCTATAAAATATAGTATTCTGTGTAGAATTCAGATAGGTCTGAGAAGTTTTGTGGTCTGTGCCGGTTCACACATGTGATCCGGTCTGTTATAGTGTCTCCGGACCACAGCACACTGTAACCACTTTGCTGTGCTATTCCAATCAAAAATAATCCTGGGCTAGTGCCCAGATCCCGGTTCCGAACAGGCCCCGAAACCTTGCTGGTTTCGAACAAGGAATCCTATGACATCAGTAGGTGGAGCTTCCACTAGAGATGCAGTTTAAAAGGTGCCATTTTTAAAAGCTTTAAAAGTCAAGAGTTCAGGCAAATTGACAATAACAATTAAATATGTAAATTCAGCAGTGGTCGGCAGAAGAGACCAACACTTTACTTCTGCAAGAGATTAACAAGCTATTCCGGTCACATGTTGGTGACGCAGAGGGTTCTGCTCCCTGCCGGTGGAAACATGAGCCAGTTCTGAACGAGTGCCACTCTTGGCTGAGCACCGGTTCCAGCACCAGCCTCGGCTATATGTGTGTGCGTGCTGTAACACTAACACCAAACCAGACTTAATTTGCCCCAATCAAAAGCATACACTGCCGGGATCTTTCCCTATCCCCTACATAGTGCACTAGGTGCCATTCACCATAATAAGATGATGAGAATAATGGGGATGATGAAGATCAGAATGATAATGTTGACGATGGTGACTTTGTTCCTTCAGGTATGTTTCTTCCTTTAATGACTAGATATATTGAATTGACATAATTCTTTTAAAATTGTTTAAATATTATGCATGTGCAGACAAAGGGTGTGTGATTTTGACAAAAAATGATATCTCGATATTTTCTGGGATTTTATCTATAACTATAATTAGACGATATTTTGCTGAGTGTGTTATCGTGGTAGTATCTTAAGGACTACCGTGGACAGCTGACTCCTTACATTTTTGATATTCTGCTTATTCTGTGTGGTCAGTTTTCAGCATCCCGGTTCCGAACAGGCCCCGAAACCTTGCTGGTTTCGAACAAGGAATCCTATGACATCAGTAGGTGGAGCTTCCACTAGAGATGCAGTTTAAAAGGTGCCATTTTTAAAAGCTTTAAAAGTCAAGAGTTCAGGCAAATTGACAATAACAATTAAATATGTAAATTCAGCAGTGGTCGGCAGAAGAGACCAACACTTTACTTCTGCAAGAGATTAACAAGCTATTCCGGTCACATGTTGGTGACGCAGAGGGTTCTGCTCCCTGCCGGTGGAAACATGAGCCAGTTCTGAACGAGTGCCACTCTTGGCTGAGCACCGGTTCCAGCACCAGCCTCGGCTATATGTGTGTGCGTGCTGTAACACTAACACCAAACCAGACTTAATTTGCCCCAATCAAAAGCATACACTGCCGGGATCTTTCCCTATCCCCTACATAGTGCACTAGGTGCCATTCACCATAATAATTCTGTGAACAAGTGACTGATTTCAGCTGCAGCTTCAGTGTCTATTTATAGTGCAGGGGGCAGGACTTCAGATTCTAGAGAGCATTTGATTGGACAGATGAAGTTAGATGAGAAGCTCAAGTGACATCAAAATTGTTGATATAGGTGGTAACAAGAGACTGAAAGTTAATACTTGCATCTTTTAAATGTGAATTTGGTTGTTGTTTTGGAGCGCACAAAGCTTATAGATAACCTTAAGGCTAACATATTCATACTTCCCTGTTGAAAAAAACAGCATATGCTGGTTAGGTATGTTTTGACGCTGGATTGCTGGTTTATGCTGGTCCTTTTGCCGGTTTATGCTGGTCCTTTGCCGGTTTATGCTGGTCCTTTTGCCGGTTTATGCTGGTCCTTTTGCCGGTTTATGCTGGTCCTTTGCCGGTTTATGCTGGTCCTTTTGCCGGTTTATGCTGGTCCTTTGCCGGTTTTTGCTGGTCCTTTTGCCGGTTTATGCTGGTCCATCTTTTCCAATAAGTTTAAATAGATTTTTACCTTTTATGGGCATTTTTACCTTTATAAAGCCATTTTTTCTAAAAGTGTCCATTATCTTTTAAGTCAAATTCATAAATTTAATCAGTCAATTTGAATAATAAGACATTTGGGCTGTTACCAAACAAATTAAATCAGTATCAATAAAATTCACCTTTGCAATGCAAAGGAAACAGAAGCTGCATCTGAAGTGCCATTTAGATATTTACACACTGGTTAATGTAGAGGGACATGAATGCATTTAACCTGCAGTTACAAATGCATAAATATTGCTTTGATATTTCAAACACAACATGTTAAATATTTATATTTGAAATTATAAAAACCAATAAGTTTAAATAGATTTTTACCTTTTATGGGCATTTTTACCTTTATAAAGCCATTTTTTCTAAAAGTGTCCATTATCTTTTAAGTCAAATTCATAAATTTAATCAGTCAATTTGAATAATAAGACATTTGGGCTGTTACCAAACAAATTAAATCAGTATCAATAAAATTCACCTTTGCAATGCAAAGGAAACAGAAGCTGCATCTGAAGTGCCATTTAGATATTTACACACTGGTTAATGTAGAGGGACATGAATGCATTTAACCTGCGGTTACAAATGCATAAATATTGCTTTGATATTTCAAACACAACATGTTAAATATTTATATTTGAAATTATAAAAGAAAAAATGAAACGATACTTTAAATGTGAAAATAAAACCGCCAGTAGGTGGCAGCGATGTTAGTTCACCCATAAAGAATAAGAATATAGGCCTCCTGTAGTGAATCCATGCGTTTTTGTAAAGAAAATTATCCATATTTCAAACATAATAAACACTTTTCTCTCACTTCTGGTATCTGTCATATGCAGAAGCCGTTCCGGCGGAAGATGCAGCACGTATGCGCAGCACGCGCCTCTGAGATAGTCTCGCAAGTTTGTTAACAGGAGCAAAGCAAGCAAAGTTTCCTTACTTTAGCAAAGGAAAACCAGTCTCCTCTTGGTTTATATCGAAATCCTCCAACATTTTTCTTTGCAAATCCTCGGTTTGTACTTCTAATTCATGGCCGGCGTTTTGTTTTGTTCTCTCTCCACGTTTGTCACTAATTACACAACGCCGACGTCTTACGTCATCCGCCGGAACAGCTTCCGCATATGACAGATAACGGAAGTGAGAAAAAAGTGTTAATAGAGCTTGGAATAGCCAGGACAATTTTTAATATAACTCCGACTGGATTCGTCTGAAAGAAGAAAGTCATATACACCTAGGATGCCTCGAGGGTGAGTAAAACACCAGCTAATTTTCATTTTTGGGTGAACTAACACTTTAAGTGAGTCATTGCGATTGAACCGAATCATTTAAATGGTTGATTCATTCAAGAACGAAACACCGTCAAGTTGCTCAGAGATGCAAAACAGAGCTGTTGCTTTGTTTGAAATTATTTTTGTTGGTGAAATAGAGCAAAATCAGCCAATATGGTGTCTAAAACTTAAGTTTCTTAATTGGTCTTTTGCCGGTTTATGCTGGTCCTTTTGCCGGTTTATGCTGGTCCTTTGCCGGTTTATGCTGGTCCTTTTGCCGGTTTATGCTGGTCCTTTTGCCGGTTTATGCTGGTCCTTTTGCTGGATTATGCTGGTCCTTTTGCCGGTTTATGCTGATTTTCAACAGGGTTAATACCAAAAAACTTCAATCTTGATTTGGAACTTTAACAAATCAGTTTACAGCGCCTTGATTGTCTGACCGGCTGACTAACATGATTGTTGACTTAATTTAATCATATGAAATGGATGTATTATATTCATGTCTTGGCAACGCCACTGAAATAGTGTTTTTGAAATAATATAAATAAATAAGCAGCGGGAGCGTGCATATGACAGATAACGGAAGTGAGAAAAAAGTGTTAATAGAGCTTGGAATAGCCAGGACAATTTTTAATATAACTCCGACTGGATTCGTCTGAAAGAAGAAAGTCATATACACCTAGGATGCCTCGAGGGTGAGTAAAACACCAGCTAATTTTCATTTTTGGGTGAACTAACACTTTAAGTGAGTCATTGCGATTGAACCGAATCATTTAAATGGTTGATTCATTCAAGAACGAAACACCGTCAAGTTGCTCAGAGATGCAAAACAGAGCTGTTGCTTTGTTTGAAATTATTTTTGTTGGTGAAATAGAGCAAAATCAGCCAATATGGTGTCTAAAACTTAAGTTTCTTAATGAACTTACTGTTTATTGAACTGTTGTATAAAATCAATATCACATTTGTAATCATGCTGTTTTTTTGGTGAGAGGAAAAAACAGCTCTCTTTGTGTGATATTGATTAACTATATGAAATTATGTAAATATATACATTTTCTGCCCCCATATCTTGAATTCTGATCATTCTAAGTAGGGCTGCACGATTAAGCGAATACGACTGTCATGCGCATTTTGTTAGTAAAGCCGGTTCTGTAATCAGCAGTAAATCATCATCGCATGCTTTCAGATGGAGCAGCATTTACTACACAGAGCCGTAGTTCACTGACAAGTTACGATTTTATTGCGTGATTATGAAATCAAAGAAATCGTTCGCGATGATGACAGCTGTTTGCATAGCTTCTCAGTGAACTACGGGTCTGTGTAGTAAACGCTGCTCCATCTGAAAGCATGTCAGTCCAGCTACCGCTATAGGCATTTTCTGGGTTTCTTCTGCGAGGCGTATTTAGAGTTTCAGCGCGATAGCGCCCTCTGGCCTTCGGATGGAGATTTACTGCTGATCACAGAACCGTGCTTCACTGAAAGAATTCCATTTCGATTTATCGTGCAGCCCTAATTCTAAGTGCATTTAATAAACTGAACCATGCAGTGAAAGTACACTCTAAATGCATAGTGCACATTTAAAACTATCAGTGCACAATTTTCCACACCCCAATCTGTAAAGCACATCTTACCAGCAAACATACACACGTTCACATCCTTCTCTTCACTCTCTGAGGCAGAAGTCTCTAAACTCATCCTTTCTAATCATCCTACTACTTGTCCGCTTGATCCTATTCTATCTCATCTCCTTCAAACCATTTCTCCTGCAGTTGTACCTGCACTCACTCAAATCATTAACACATCCCTTCACACCCTTAACCCATCTCTTTTAGAGAACTACAGACCGGTTTCCCTTCTTCTTTTCATTGCAGAAACACTTGAATGAGCTGTGTTAAACCAAGTCTCTGCCTTTCTCACACAGAACAACCTCCTCGACAGCAACCAGTCTGGTTTCAGAAGTAGATCTTCAACCGAGACTGCCTTGCTCTCAGTTGTTGAAGCCCTAAGACTGGCAAGAGCGGCTTCCAAATCTTCAATACTTATCTTGCTGGATCTGTCCGCTGCTTTTGACACGGTTAACCACCAGATTCTCCTGTCAACCCTATTGGCAAAGGGTATCTCAGGAACCACACTCCAGTGGTTTGAGTCTTATCTCTTAGATAGGTCCTTCAAGGTATCTTGGAGAGGTGAGGTGTCCAAGTCGCAACATCTAGCTACTGGGGTGCCTCAGGGCTCAGTACTTGGACCACTTCTCTTCTCTGTCTACATGGCATCACTAGGTTCTGTCATTCAGAAACATTGCTTTTCATACCACTGCTATGCTAATGACACTCAGCTGTACCTTTCATTCCATCCTGATGATCCGACGATAGCTGCTCGCATCTCAGCTTATCTAACAGACATTTCTTGCTGGATGAAGGACCATCACCTTCAACTCAACCTTGCCAAGACAGAACT